TGGACCATCAGGAATAGGTAAAGGCTTCAATAACCCAAGCGGTGCTTGAGTTCGCGGCTTGTCCCGCTGACAGACCTGACAGGTCTCCACATACTTCTTGGCGTCATCAAATATACCAGGCAACCAAAATCGCTGTACTAGGTTAGCACTCGTCTTCTTGTAGCCAAAGTGTCCCATTGCGTCTTGGCATTCTCCTAAAAACAAACTACGCAAAGGTTCACTAGATGGAACTACCAATCTCTTTATTCCGGCCTTCTCACGATAGATTAACCCATCCACCATCACAAACTCACTTTCCGTGCCCTTGTGTTTTGCCTGAAGTTTGCAGATGATGTCCATCGTGACAAGGTCTTCCTGATAGGCTCCCACCAAAGATTGAGTTACTTCATTAGATACGCCAAATTCAGAAACTAGCGCACCTAGGTAGTCTGCTCTACGGGATAGCGTGTCTGCAACCTTGTTGTACTCTCCCTTCAGGTACTCAAGCCTGAAGTCATATTGGTCTATGACCTCAATCCATCGCTTGAGTGCATTAGAAAGAGCCGGTTGAGTCTTGATCCATTTGAGGGTCTGATGATCAGTCCTCAGATAGAAGAACCTTCCCAAAAGGAAGTGTCTCCAATGGACAAGTGCCTTGTAGAGAGCATAGAGTTCCCTTTCGTAGGTGGACTTAGCCAACTTCTTCGATGGCATCTTCTTACTCATGTACTCAATCGGTCTCAACTTTTTCCCATCCTGCTGAGCCAGCACTGCGCCAATGCCGTATTGGCTTGCGTCAGTGGTTACTATGAATGGCTTCTGCGGATCGGGAACCATGAGAACTTCATGATTCATGAGTGCATGCTTCAATTTCTTGAAAGCACTCTCGCACTCATCACTCCAGTCCCACGGCGTGTCAAGTCGAGTTAGATCAGTCAAAGGAGAGGCGACTGTAGAATAATTCTTTACGAAGTTCCTATAGTAGCCGCACATTCCTAAGAATGATCTGACCTCAGTGACTGTCTGAGGTCGTGGCCACTCTCGAATACCAGCCACCTTCGCATCTTCCGGCCTAATTCCCTCCGCGGATACTTCATGACCCAAGTATAGTATCTTAGTGCGACCGAATTCACACTTCTCTAAGTTGACCTTATACTTGTGTTGTCGAAGGAGTGAAAGTACCGTCTCAACATGCTGTGCATGCTCCTCGACAGACTTGCTAAAGATCAGAATGTCGTGTAGGTAGACCACGACAAACTTATCTAAATGGTCATGGAAGATCCGATTCATAGCATGCTGGAATGTACTCGGCGCATTGCAAAGACCAAAAGGCATCACTACAAACTCATACAGACCATATCTAGTCTGAAAAGCTGTCTTGTGTTGGTCCTCAGATCTTATTGCGATCTGATGATATCCGGATTTCAAGTCTATCTTAGTATAGTACTTGCATCCCTGCACCCTATCCAATAGGTCGTCTATGCGTGGTAGAGGCTCTGCGTTCTTCACAGTGATGGCATTGAGGCTCCTATAGTCAATGCACATCCTCAAAGTACCCCCCTTCTTCGGTACGAATAGAACGGGTGATCCATAGGGGGAAGTACAAGGCCGAATCCAACCCTTCTCTATCAGCTCCTTAAGTTGTCGCCGAAGTTCATCTAACTCGGC